GCGCGGCCCGTACCTGTATCGGCTGCTACAGCTGCCTCCGCGGCCACACGAGGACGGTGGCTGGCAGCGACGGCTCACCGATGGCGTCAAGGCCAACCACCCGGGCGGCCGCGCGCGGATGCAGTGGGCCGACGAGAAGGCGGTCGAGGCGCCACTGAACGCTGCCAAGCGGTTTCTGCAGCGCATCTTTGTGTACCGGCCGGGGTTGCGACCATCGGCAGAGGCTTGCCTCGGCCAGCCATTTCTCGCGCGGTGGTCGGGGGGCTGAGACTGTGCTCGACGGGAGAGCGACGAGATGGAGCGTGAGGTGGCATGGCACGCCTTCGTGGCAATACGCCCGCCAAGGCGGGGGCGCGGGGAAGCAGCATCAGGTGCGAGAGCAGGAAAGGTGGCGCTTCTGGTCGGGACGGCTGTGAACACGAATTCCCCAGCACAGGTTTTAGATCAGTATTGGATGATGGCACACAACCGCACGAGGTCAGCGGCGCGCGACGCGCCGCTCTCGCAGGCTGCTTTTGGCTGTTTTCCGCATCGTTTCGCGGAGAGTTTTTGTTTATGTTTTCAGAGAAGGTGGGTCCACAGATCCAGAGATCAACGGGAGACGGCCCGGCCGCCTGCGCCAACACGTTCATTTGATTCACGATGAATTGGAAAGCGGCGCGGAACATGTAGAGGCGCCCCCGGGCTACATTCTCCCTAGGTACAGAAAGAGCGTTGCATTCATGACAGATGTGTCACACACAGGACCCCACACCACCAGTATTGCCCGCTGGCCTGCCCTGGGGCTCGGCACCCCCCCCTCCCCAGATCCACTGACCGTATGCAGCTAAAGATCGTTAGACGGGTGTTCCCTTTCGGTGCTTAGCCTTACAATGGACGTATTCGCATTAGACATCACACGGCGGGCGCTTCCCGGGGGGGGTACGGTGGCGGCACTGGCGGCCGTAACGCCTGGTGTGGAGCCTCAGGGGCGGCCCCTCGACCCTGCAGCCAACAAGCTGACGCGGGCCCAGTACCTCGATGAGGTGACTTGGACCACCAAGAGCTGGCTGGGGCTGCAGAAGCAGCGCATCTCAGTCGTACTTCACACGGCCATCGCGGAGCAGATTGTGAATGAGCTTGCCTGCGGCGAGGGCGGTCGAGTGCACGGAGCTAAGTGCCTCGCCGTCCTCGCGGGAGTCGCTTAGGCGGCTCCCGTGGTGTACCTGTGTTAGTGCCAGTGCGCGCCAGTCCCGTGCCTATGTGCGCACATGAAATTCTTTTACCGCGATCAACTCGGGACTTGGCTTTTACCATGTGCATGATGGCCCTGCTCTTAGCCCTCGCGTGCTGCCTCCTCCCCTGCCACGGCTGCGTGGACGACGAGGCGGAGAAGCTGTGGGTGCCCTGGAACGAGCAGGTCAGTCTGCACGGCTCGATCGACCTCGAGCAGGTCAACCGGCAGCTCAAACGTGACTATGAAAAGAACGACCGCGAGCTGCTGCGCGCAGTCACGTCCCGCGCGACGGTGCTCACACTCGACAAGGAGGACCACCCGAACGGCACCGCCTGGATGGAGCGTGCGCGCAGCGGCTGCATCTTTAGCGTGCTGTGGGCGACGCTGCCAGATGGGACCCGCGTCATGAACCAGGCGGGGAAGAGAGTCATCAATTACCGCGAGGAGGGGTGGAACGTGGCGCCGCGCTACCTGATCGCCGCGCAGGAGCAGGACCTCCTCGTCGGCAAGATGCAGATCCTCACCAAGCTCGTCGTCAACACCGACTCTGCGCACCAGAGGATTCGGTTCGCGCTCGTGGACGGGTGTGCGCGCAAGACACTGCGCACCTTGTGGTAGAGACAGCGGGAGAGTGGGGCCCACCTCCCAGCGCACTCACCTGCGCACACCACCAACATGCGGGCTGCGGCGAGTCTGCGCCGCGGCGCTGGCGACAGCCCCGCCATCATGCCTCCCTCCACCGGCCTCCCCCACCTCCCTCCCACCTCCCACCTCCCTCCCACCTCCCTCCCGCCTCCCTCCCACCTCCCTCCACCCGTCTCCCCCCCCTCCCTCCCACTCCCTCCTCGCGCAGGTACACTTCAGCGGTCATCCTGCGCATGCCCATCGCAGAGGCATGGACCCTCTCCAGCGCAGTGCAAGAGGCGCTGCACGCATACGCCACGGATCCAGCCGCGTGGGCGACGGCAGGTGCGCACTCGTAGACACCTCCTGGACATGTCCCAGACACGTCCTAGACACCTCCCTAGACACTTCCTGGACCACCTTCCAGCGCAGTGCTCCTACACACCTCCCAGACATCTCCTCGGCCTGAGACTCCCGCACCCTCTCTATCAAGGCGCCCGGCCCCGCCCCCCTCGTGACGAGCGTCTCTTCGCACCTCGTCTCTTCACACCTCGTCTCTTCACACCTCGTCTCTTCACACCTCCCGCGGTGAGCAGGCACGCTCGCCCTCGTCTCGGTCGCATTCTGCCTCGGGCGCCGCTTCTCGGCGAGGGGACGCGGCAGGCGCGAGCGCGGCAAGCCGGGGGGGGGGGGGTGCGGGAGGGGCGTGCAGAGATCTCACCTCTGAGCGCTGCCAGCCGTGCGCAGGTCCAAGCCGGCAAAGAAGACGACGGACCAGCGACGGAAGGAGACGGAGCTGCGTGAGAAGGTCGCGAGGGCGAAGGCGGAGGCGGAGGCCCGCCGGCGTAGATGCTGTCGACCGGCCGCAGCACTCCGACCGGCGGTCGAGAGAGGACGCGCACTCCGCTGCACTCCGCTGCCTTCACGAGATTCCTAGCCCTCGCATCCACGCTCTGAAGCCACCTCTCGAGACCGCCGTCCCACGGCCTGACTTCGAAGCCGTTCACGGCGCAGGCCAAGGTGGCGCGTGCGGAGGCGGAGGCGAGGGCGGCGGCCGCAAAAGCGAGCAGTCTCCGGCAGCACAAGCACAAGCAGGCGATCTGAGGACTGGCTAGTCAGCCCACACGCGCTGCACTGGCGCATTGTGTGCACGCAGTGACGGGCGCACGGCTTTGGGCGCGGAGACGCGGGGCCCCCCTCCACCCACCCACCCACGACAGGCCCTCCGCAACCATGGCCATGGCCGTGTGGAGGAGTCCGTGTGGAGGAGTGTGCCTTGCCCCCTGCCCCTGTCCTCAGGCGGCGGCGGCCAAGGGGCGACTCGCGGCCGCCGAGGCGCGCGCGAGAGCGGCCGAGGAGGAGCGAGACTTTGCCGAGTGCCAAAAGGCCAGGGCGGAGAGGGACTTTGCGCGAGCGGCGGCGTCGGCGGCGGCTGCCGCCGCCAAGGCCGCCGCGGAGGCGGGGGAGGCGTCTCCTGCGCGGCGGGGGGAGAGGCTGAGCGAGCAGGTGCGGCGCCGGATGGCGGCCGACCTGGAGAAGGATAGTTCGGACTAGGAGCGGGCCCGCGCCTGTCTCGCGTGTACCAGTCCACTACTCGGTAGGGGAGGAGGTCTGTACGAGTGTTCACCATCGTAGGTATGAGAGGCCAGAGGTCTGGGCGTGAACCGTCCAGGCTCCGCAGCAGCCACCTCTCGATTATGTGAGGTCAGAGATATACTAGATGAGTCTAGATGCGCACATGCGGGCGCGCTGGTTTGCAAACACAAAGCTATTTAACATCTCGATGTAGATCGCGATTTTTTTCGAGGTCAGACCCATTCATGCCTGCACCCTGGCACCACTGTGGACGGTCCGTCCGACGTCGGGTAACCGTCGCCGCATCGCCCTCGCGACTCAAGGTGCGCGCTGCGTGACCGCCGTGAGCTGCCCTCCCGACCCATGTAAAAAAATCCGCCATCTCCCCTCTCAGTGAGCCGGGAGAGCGCTCCGGGCACCTCCGGGCAGCCGTCTCCCCGCCACGAAAGCTCTGCCGAGAGCGCCGTTCCCATGGGCGGCGTTCCCGAACCATTCGTAGGCGCCGCGCGGCATTGCCAATGCTCCATCGACGCGGTGCAGGCGGCCCCAAGCCAAAGGGGTGGACACGTGCCGCCAAGAACGCCTTCCTAATCCACTTTGGTGTGCGCACAGGCGGTGCTCCAGTGGACGCCACTGCCGACGGCGCCGCCGCTGACCCGCCCGCCGCCGACCCTCCCACCGAGGAGGTCGACGGAGCTGCAGACCCAGCGATGCAGTCCGAGGCCGCCGCTCCGGCGGCAGAGGCTGACGTCCCGATGGCGCAAGCGCTGAGCGATGCCGAGCTTTCATCAGATCACGAGCACGAGGAGCAGCCGCTGCTCCATGAGCAGCGGCTTGCGACAGTCAACCAGGAGCAGGCACGGCTTGAGGCGCTGCGTTGGACCGAGGAAGAGGTGGCTTTGTGGGTGAGTTGGGGGGGTGTGAAGGAGGACTTGATCTAGGCTGGAGATTGCACGTGGAGCACTTGGAGGCGCTAGAAGGAGCCGAGGAGGAGCATGCGGGCTACATGGAGGAGACCTCGTGCGACGAGTCCGAGGACGAGGACGAGGACGAGAGCGACGGCGAGGCGCCCGCACCCGCCCCCGCACCCGCACCCGCACCCGCACCCGCGCAGCGTGCAGGGAAGCGTAAGGCTGCACCGCCTCGAGCACCGCCGACGCGCCCGCCAGACAGCAGTGATGACGATGGCCCATCATTGCATGCGCCAGCACCGGCGCGGGCAGGGCGGGGGGCCAAGCCGGCAGCCAAGGGGTCCGCACGGCGCAAGCCGCCAGCAGCCAAGCCAGCAGCCAAGCCAGTAGCGGCCATGTCGAAGCGTCAGCGACGGAAGTGATCTGTACACACTGCATGAGTATGAATCGTGTGTGTGTGTGTGTGTGTGTGTGTGTGTGTGTGTGTGTGTGTGTGTGTGTGTGTGTTGTGTGACTATTGTACGAGATTTCTACATTGCGCTCTAGACGGGGGCTCTTGGGCAGCAGCTCACAGCCTATTTTTGGTCGGTTTTTGGCGCTAAAAATGCAAAATTTTCTTCGCGGGGCTCTGCCCCGCACCCCGCTGGGGCTGCCAGCCCCAGACCCCAGGCTGGGGCTCCGCCCCAGACCCCGAGTTAGGCGCTGTCGGCGGCCAGAGGCCGAGTTACGTCTGCAGGCAAAAGTCGCTCGCTGCCGTCTGAGCTCGAAAAAAATCGCGATGTAGAGCTCATCTAGTGAGTAGTGATCACTAGTAGTGTGCGTGACTCTGTCGTGCCCCCCCCCGGGGGGGGGCTGCAAAATCCAATACAGTAAGAAAAGCAGCAGGGGGGCTCGAGGGAATCGCGCCCCCCGGGCGGCTACCCGCTCGACAGCGACGCGAGGTCGTGTGCGCTGCGCGGCGGTCCGGAGCAGGAGGCGAGGTCGACCATGCACGCTTCCAGGTCGGCGTGCAAGTCGGCGTCGCGGTCCGCGTCGCGGCTGCCCTCCGAGCCCATCTCCGCCTCGTCCGAGATGTTGCCTAGGGTGGGGTCATCGCACCTCGGGTCACCTCGGGTCATCTCGGGTCTGTCTCGGCCGAGATGCTGCCTGCGGTGAGGTCGGGTGCGAGGTGCTTCTCCGCACGCTCGCGTGGGGCAAGGGCCGGGCTACCCCTCGCGAGACAGGCAGCCCCAGAGCAGTCAAGACAGTGCGACGCACAGTGCGCGTGTGTCGTGCGTGGGTGTGCGTGCGCGTGCGTGAGAGTGCGGTGGCACGTGCGTGTGTGCGCGTGATGTCGCCTTCGGCGCCGCCCACGCCGATCTCCTCCTGGTACGCTCGCAAGTGCAGCGCCTGCGCCCTCTCGCGCAGCGGCGAGACCACGCCCGACGAGCTCGACCGGCCAAGCTGCCTACGAAGCGACAGTGCGTCGCCCCCTCCGACTCACAAGGCGAGGCCCGTGGTGCTAGCTCGAGCGGCCGGGATGCTACATCTCCCCGTATCTCCCCGTATCTCCCCACATCTCGAGCGGCCGGGATGCTACATCTCCCCGCCTCTCATCTCGAGCGGCGGGGATGCCGTGAGCGGCGCTGGTCAAAGAACGAGCCCGTCATCGGAAAGGTGGCCGCCATCTGGTCGAGCGATGGCGGTGGCAGCCGAGCCAGCTTGGCCACCTGTGAGTCGGCATTGGCCAACCAACTCCCACTACCAGCCTCCCAACCCGAGGTGCCCGTTTTGAGTGATTTGGCGTGGCTCGCCTGGTGCGCGAGCACGGGCGCCGCGGAGAGCACGACCAGCTTGCGGCGCACCTGACGCGCGGAGGAGACATGAGCCGAGATGCGCCGAGATGCGCCGAGGGTGAGAGCTGATATGAGCCGAGGGCGACCAAGGTGAGCCGAGGGTGAGCCGAGGGGGAGCCGAGAGTGAGCTGAGAGAGAGCACGACCAGCTTGCGGCGCACCGGGTGGTCGCGCGGCACGGAGAACGGGACCGAGTTTGTCACGACCGCCTGAGGAAGCGATAGGAAGCGATGAGCCCGTCACTCGCACTGGATCACTTGGGCGGGCGGGGCCCGAGGTTGGCCACGACCACCGTCGTCACGTCGGAGACGGCGATGATGCGGAGCGACTCCTCCGAGAAGATGCCGTGGGTGGCGACGGCGAAGACTCGGGCAGCGCCCGCCTCGAGCAACGCCTCGGAGCAGCGTGCGATTGTCTTTCCCGAGTCGATGATGTCGTCGACGATGATCGCGTCCTGCCCTCGCACCTCCCCGATGAGCTCCAGGTGCCTGATTATCCAAGCAGGCATGGCCTCACACCGACGCGTGCAATCGCGGAACCCCCGACGACCTCCAGGCGCCTCCGCTCGCTCCCAGACGCCTTGTGTGGCAGCAGCATCGCCAGCGTCGGCGCAGCGCCCGCTCTCGGAGAAGCGAAGCGCGAGCCTCCGTCGCCCGACGCGTGCAGCTCCGCGAGCGAGTCGAAGAAGGCCTTTGCGAGCGTCACGCCGGACGCGTGCGGCGCGACGACCACCGGCCGCCGAAGTTGGCGCTGCGTGTGCAGGTAGCGCGCGGCGGCGGGCTGGCACGAGGCGGAGGCAAAGTGGCAGCGCGGCGAGAAGAAGCCGGCGATCTCCTCCTTGTGCAGGTCGAGCGTGAGCACGCCGTCGACGCCCATCTCCTCCAGCAGCGACGCAACGTCCGCCGCCGAGATGGGAACGCGCGACGTGTGCTTGCGCGCCTGCCGCCCGTACGCGTAGTACGGCAGCACTGCGGTGATGCGCGCGGCGCTCGCGCGGCGCAGGCCGGAGACGATGAGCGAGAGCTCCACGAAGAAGCGGTTGACGCCCGCGCCGCCCAGGCACGCCACCACGTACGTGTCGCGCAGCCGCACGTTGCATGGCAGGCGGAGGTGCGTTTCGCCGTCGGCGTCCTCCGCGTCAATGGCGGCGGGCGGAATGCCGAGGATGCCGCCTATCTCGTCGGTGAGGGACTCAGCGCCAGTGGCGGCGATGAGGACAATGTCGGAGGGCTCCGCCATGTAAAGATGTGAGCCCTGCCCGTCTTACCAGCCGGCCGTCTCGCCCCCCCCTTCACCACCGCCCCTCCTTCCAAAGCCCACCCTCGCCCTGCCACCGAGCACAACGCTGCTTGCTGTGGGTTCGAGCTCTTAGCTGTACGGGGCTGGTCCCTCACTCTCCTACCTACTACCTACCTGTGTGTCTGACACACTCTCTCTCAAACAAGGGGGCTAATGCCTAGCTAGATATAGCTAGGAGTTTAAATCCTTTTCTGCAGATTTTGGCGCGATATGCATTCACCCCCACTCCGGGTAGGAGCCCGAACATTGCTGCGACTCGCAATTGCAGTGATTTGGGCTCGGCAGCTTGTTTGTTAGTTAGCCCTCAGCCGAACAATTGCATGCACCTGCACCTGCACATGTCCATGCACATGAGAGAGATTTTTAGCAATACCAAACAAATCTAACACTTGTTTTTGTTGTTGCACATGTGGACATGACATCCTCAAAGAACTGGAATTTTCTGAAGTTGCTTCTTGTTGCCGCCGACGAGCACCCCCTCAGTGGATAGGCCGCTCGGTGGCGCGGCAGCAGCATCAGTGTCGGCGCCGTCGGCGCTTGCGTTGATGGCCGACTGTGAAGTGCCAAGGACGGCATCCCCATCGTATGGGACAGTAAGGAGTGTTGAGCGTGACATGGATGAAAGGAAGCAGGTCAAGTCTGTGAGACGCTCGTGAACGTCCTGCTTAGCGACTCAACAAAGTGCGACGCCCTCGAGCACCCGGCTCTATTGCCAGCAGATATCCAGCCCCGATGAACACCCACACGACCCTCTCTGCACCGCCAACCGCCGAGCGGCGGCGACGGCCAGCAGCTCCCGACTCCTCCGGCGTGGGCGCTCCCTTGGCCTCCACGTCAACTTCCTTCGCCGGTTACGAGATTGACTGGCAGCGCAAGCTCGGGTCTGGTTCGTTCGGCGCGACATACGCCGTCCGTGGCGACGACTCTGTGGCCGTCAAGGTCCTGAACCACAAGGCGACCAAGCCTGAGATGGTCAAAATCGTGCGCGAGTGCGCCTGCCTCGAGCGGCTCGACCACCCCAGCGTCATCTCAGTGCTCGCCCACGGGCGCGTCGGCACGGCTCTGTACTGCATCGTGATGGAGCGGTGCGCCGGCGGCGAGCTCTTTGACCTCGTCAGCTCCTTGCCGCTGCCGCCCGAGCACACCGCTCGCCGCATCTTTTGCGAGCTCCTCGACGCCGTCGGCCACTGTCACTCGCGCGGCATCGCCCACCGCGACATCAAGCTCGAGAACGTGCTCCTCACCGAGAGCGGCGCCGTGAAGCTCATCGACTTTGGCCTCGCACACCAGTACGATCCGGCGCACGCAGGAGGCTGGGACCGGTCGACTCTGCTCACCGAGGTTGTCGGCTCGCAAAACTACGCCGCGCCCGAGGTGTCGGCCGGCTGCGGATACGATGGCTTCCGGGCGGACATGTGGAGCAGTGGCGTCGTCCTCTACACGCTCCTCGCAGGCACCTTCCCGTACCACGAGTGCATAGCTCCTGTCGAGGTGGACGTGGAGGGCCTGCCGGCAGAGGCGGTCGGCCTAGTAAAGGCGCTGCTCGAAGCGGATCCGGCGCGTCGCCCGACGGCCGGCGTTGCGAGGCGCCACGGCTGGTGCACGGGCGCCGGGGGCGGCTTTGGCGCGGCGGACGAGAGCAGTGACGGCCTTGAGAGCCTCGCGCTCGACTCGTACCTGGCGACGCTCGATACGGAGAGCCTGGGGGTGGAGGACGCCGGCGCGCTCTGGGCGCTCGCGGCGCTGGAGGAGGGAGGGACGGGCGAGGAGATGAGCAAGGAGGAGGTCGAGCGGCGGCCCGAGCGTTCGTGCGGCTTTGGCAGCAGCGACACCTCGCGCAAGCGGCGGCGCGTGGATCCTCGGCCATCCCTTCTCGAGAGCGGCTTCCGTCCCGCACACGTCTTGATGTCTGCTCGATGGCTGGAGGTGCAGGTGGCATGAGAGAGAGAGGGGAGAGGAACTCGCTGAGAAGCAAGGTCCACGTCCAGGCTGCAGTACAAAACAGTACATGAGCGAGAGAGCGAGAGAGAGAGAGAGAGAGAGAGAGAGAGAGAGAGAGAGAGAGAGAGAGAGAGAGAGAGTCTGCAGTGTAGTGGGCCGCGTACCGGTTCCGTTGGTTGCATGCTGTATCTTTCGAGTATCTTGTGTATTTACAAACGGGAAAGGATCTGAAAGGGGAGACCGCGACATGCACGCGACGTGCAGGACTCTAGTCTCCGGCAGGGCTGCCATCACGGTCAGCTAGTACAGCTCGACCGGCCCCGTCTTCCTGTGGAAGCTCCGCGTCGGCCGCGGCCGCTTCCCGTGCTTGTCGCGCAACCGCTCGTGGAAGCAAGGCGCCGGAAGGCCTGCCGCCGCGCGGCTTACGCCGGCGCCCGTGCGGCGGTGTGCCTCGCGCCCGACAGGACGCATCCCTCGCCGCTGCTTTGGGACTCCACCAAAAAGTGTCCCACTCTCGCCTCTCCTCAAATCCACCAAGTCGAGCCGTCAGCTCTTTGTACCGCATGATGCAGTTACAAACACGCACGTGTATACTCAGTCTGTTGATCCGCATGGCTGAGCTCCCCCAACCCTCACAGTGACGCGCGTCAATGCTCAGCCTCGGCCACTCTCCACGCGGGCGCGTCAGGCGGCCGCCGTGCGCCCCTTCTGCAGCTCCGCCACCTGGTCGAGCGCGTCGCCGAGCAGCCCCTTGGCCACGCCGAGGTCGCGAAGCTGCTCCACGCCGCCGCTCGCGCGCACCTCGGCGGCGTGGTCGGCCACGAAGCGGCGGCACTGCGCGAGGAGCCGCCCGTCGCCCGTCGTGTGCGCCGCCTCGAGCAGCGGCACGGCGGTCGCCGGCCCGACGCTCTCCTGCAGCGCCTGCGCGCAGAGCAGCTCGAGGCGCGGCACCTGGTACTTATGCGCCAGCTGCCGCAGGTCGAGCGCGCGCCGCGCCTGCTCGCCCTCCCCCTCGCCGAGGTCGAGCTGGTCGGTGAGGAGGTAGCGGACTAGGGCGGTGAAGCTGGCGAGGTCCGTTTCGAGCACCGTGACCTCGGCGGCGTCGCGCTCCTTCATGCCGATGCCAAACATCGTCCGAAAGAACACGGACCGCACGCAGAGGTTGTTCTTGCTCACGTGCTCGAGGCGGACGGCGGCGGCGGTGACAGTGAGGTCGAGGGAGGCGGCAGCGAGGGCGACGCGGACGGCGGCGGCGGCGACGGCGGGGCAGAGGGCGGCGGCGGCGACGGCGGCAACGGCGGAGAGAGCAGACTGGTGGGGCCATCTGGCCAGGAGAAAGAGGCGGCGGGGATGGCGAGGCCGACGGCGGTGGCGGCGACGGTGAGGCGGAGGGAGGCGGCGGCGACGGCGAGGCGGCGGCGGCGGGGGAGCGACGGAGATGCGGACGGCGGTGGCGGAGATGGCGAGGCGGACGGCGGCGAGCGAGAGGTTAATCTCAGGTGGGGCGCCCGCCGGCCCCCGTCACGCGCGCATTTATAGCGGGGGCGTGATCGACGTGGGCAATTCGAGAGACAGTGGGGCGATGACTGGGGGGGCTCGGGCCGGCTCACTTGTCTGATAGACTTATGAAAAACTCAGACCGACTGACAGACGTACGCGAGCCCAAGAGAGGGAGGTGTCCATCACGGCACATCAGCGGCGCCGCCCCGTCTCGACCACCTCCCACGCACGTGCTTTTGGATCGACACGGCCGCCGCGTCCTGCTCTCGCGCCGCCCGCTCCCGCTTGAGCCGGTGCGCCCGCCCCAGCATCAAATAGCGCGAGTAGGAGAATGAGGCTAGCGACGTCGACAGGGTGGCGCAGGCGCCACCGATCTCGTGAGCGAGGTCATCAAGGCCGTCCCACTGCAGGGGCCAGAGGCTGAGAACCCATGCGGCGATGCCGATGCCCGCATCCAGCAACGCGCACTCCGCGAGCCCGTCGCCAGCCTCCACTGCCCCCACCGCCTCACAGAGAGGTTGCACGACAGCGAGGGTGCCGTTGCCGTCCGCCGCACCAAACGCACCGGACAGTGAAGGGTTCACGACTGCAGAGAGTCCATCGAGGCTGTCAAAGGCGTCGCCGAGGGCGTCGCAGCCGTCGTGGCCCGATAGCGAGACGGCATATCCTGTGCCTGCGGGCGTGGCAGCGAGGGGGGTGAGACGTCGAAGGCGCCCTTTGTGCTGGGTGTGTTGGAAGTATTGCGGCACCGGCAGTGAGAAGCGCCGCCACGCCAATCACGACGGCGCCAATGGTGAGGAGGTGTAACATTGCGAGGAAGAGCACGTACACGGCCTCTCTGGCGCAGCCACCACAGCTGCTGCAGCCTCTCCTCTCCCCCGGCGTAATCGCGTCGCCGCCGCCCCGCAGCGCCGGGTCATTGCTTGGGTCCTTGAGGTAGTGGGACCTCGGCGAGAGCCTCCCGCTCTCGTCGTCTCCTTCCACCGCCTTGAGAGCCTCCACCGTCGAGCTTCCCGACGGGCTGCGCCTCGCGTATACGCCAGAGGAGTACGGAGTCGATGCGAGGTACGTGCGGCGAGAGAAGCAGCCGTAGCCGCAAGTCAGTAGAGGGCCGACGATTGCAATCACGCAGAGGGCGATGGCGATTGGGGCGATGAGGGAGGAGGGCTCGTCGAGGGCGAAGTAGATATCGCGCGCGGCGTAGAGGGTGAGCACCGCCCCCCCGACGGCGATCATCAGCGCCAGAAACGTTGAGAGCGGGAATGGACCCGGAGGAGCGGTCGAGAAGCTCGCCCAGAGCCCTCTGCAAAACGTCGAGCAGCAGCCAGGTTCCCTGCGGACGCCTCCTCTGCGGGTGTATTGTAAGGCTGCACCGCCTGCGAGTCGCGCCACTGCCTCTGGTTCTGGTGGTGGTGGCACTGCAGCAGCGGCGACGGTGGAGGCAGGAGCAGTGGAGGATCTACCGAGCGGAGGCAGCGGTGGCAGCGGCGCTTGCATGCTGGCCGGCATCGGAGGAGGGCTAAACGGGATGATGCTGGGATCCTCGTCCGGGTCCGGGCCGACCCGCGAGCGGGCGATGGGCTTGAGACGGGACACCATTGCTGCTTCCGGCAACGGTTACATACAGGTACCACCCGTTCTTCAGCTCACAGAGACCTCGCGGGCGAAGGGCTGTGCTGAAGGCACAAAATATAGGGCCCGGGCAAACCGCGGTCCGCGTGCTAGTCGCGGGCTGATTGACTGATTGGAAGGTGAAGATTGGTAAGGTAAACATCTCCATCTGTGGAGGGAGGCAGCGAGCGCCAGCTGCTCCTGGAGTCTAGCAGTAACTAAGGCGGCTGGTGGTGGGGCGGGGGGGGGAGGGGGTTAGATCGTACCATACCCCGCAAAAGGTCCGAACCCAGGAATAGAGCTCAGGGGCTGTCAATGGGCAGCCTTCCCGACGAAGTCACCGATGCGGCTGGGCGAGGCGACGAGGCGGCGCTGCTGGCGTGGCTTGACAGCGACGGGCAGGTCAACGCGACTGGCGGGGTAGGCAATGTGAGCGGTGTCACCGTGCTGATGCTGTCCGCCGGCAAGGGCCACGAGCGGATGGTCGAGCTGCTGCTTCAGCGAGGCGCGGAGATCAACCTACAGAGCAGCAGCGGCGGCACCGCGCTGATTGCCGCCGCCCATGAGGGATACGAGCGGGTTGTCGAGTTGCTGCTGCAGCGCGGCGCGGAGATCAACTTGCAGACCAGCGACGGCGGCACCGCGCTGATGCTCGCCGTCCAGGAGGGCCACGAGCGGATGGTCGAGCTGCTGCTTCAGCGAGGCGCGGGGATCAACCTACAGAGCAGCAACGGCGGCACCGCGCTGATTGCCGCCGCCCATGAGGGTCACGAGCGGGTGGTCGAGCTGCTGCTGCAGCGAGGCGCTGAGCTCAACCTGCAGAACAGCAACGGCATCACCGCGCTGATGCTCGCCGCCGCCAACGGCCGCGAGCGGGTGATCGAGTTGCTGCTGCAGCACGGTGCGGAGGTCAACTCGCAGGACAGCAAAGGCATCACCGCGCTGACATACGCCGCCAGCCAAGGCCACCCCGCAATCGTGCTCCGCCTGCTGCGTGCGGGCGCAGACGCGGCGCTGCGCTCTGAGGACGGCAAGTCCGCGCTGCAGTTTGCCAAAGAGAATGGCCACGCCGCGTGCGTCGAGGCCTTCCGGCAGCACGTCGCGAAGGTGACTGCGATCCAGCGCGAGGCGGCGGCGAGAGGGGCGGGCGGCGCTTCCTCGGGCGAGGCGGCGGCGGGAGGGAGTGCGGCGGCCTCTTCTAGCTCGCTGGGCAGCCTTCCCGAAGAGGCTGCGACAGCAGCTCTCCAAGGCGACGAGGCGGCGCTGCTGGCGTGGCTCGACAGTGGCGGGAGGGTCAACGCGACTGGCGGGGCAGGCAATGTGAGCGGCATCACCGCGGTGATGCTCGCCGCCAGCAGCGGCCACGAGCGGGTGGTCGATCTGCTGCTGCAGCGCGGCGCAGAAATCGACATGCAGAGCATTAGTGGCGGCACCGCGCTGATGGGCGCCGCCCAGCAGGGCCACGAGCGGGTGGTCGATCTGCTGCTGCAGCGCGGCGCTCAGGTCAACCTGCAGACCAACAGCGGCGAGACCGCGCTGATGGGCGCCGCCGGCAAAGGCCACGAGCGGGTGGTCGAGCTGCTGCTGCAGCCCGGCGCGGAGGTCAACCAGCAGAACAGCCGCGGCGTCGCCGCGCTGATGCTCGCCGCTTACAGCGGCCACGAGCGGGTGGTCGACTTGCTGCTTCAGCGCGGCGTGGAGGTCAACCTGCAGGACAGCGTCGGCGGCACCGCGCTGATGGGCGCCGCCGACCAAGGCCACCCCGCCGTCGTGCTCCGCCTGCTGCGGGCGGGCGCGGATACGAAGCTGCGCTCTGAAAGCGGCAAGACAGCGCTGCAGCATGCCAAGGAGACTGGCCACGCCGAGTGCGTGCGCGCCCTCGAGGAGCACGCGGCGGCGGAGGCGGCGGCGGAGGCGGAGATGAGGGAGGCGGTGAGAGCGGCGGCGGAGGCGGAGGCGACGCGGCATGCCGAGGCGCTACTTGCGGGGGAGGAGGCGGAGAAGGAGGCGGGGGAGCGCACCAAGGAGAGCAAGAAGGGGAAGAAGAAGAAGAAGAAGAAGAAGGGCGGCGGGGGCGGCGCTGGGCCATCGCAGGAGCCCGAGGATGAGGCAGCGCTGGCGACGGGAGAGGAGGCGGAGTTGGCGGCGGCGCTCGAGGAGAGCGCGAGGCTGGTGGAGGAGAGGCGGGCGGCGGAGGAGCAAGGGTCGTCCTCTTTGGCTGCAGAGTCGCCGGCTCCGAGGGAGGAGGAGCCGCCGGCCGACTTCATCTGCCCGATCACGACCGAGCTCATGAGCGACCCGGTGCTGGCGGCGGACGGGCATGCCTATGAGCGGTCGGCGATCGAGCGCTGGCTCGCGACCAAGTCGACGAGCCCGATGACGGGCGAGGAGCTCGAGCTCACTCGGCTCTTCCCCAGTCACATCCTGCGCCGTCAGATTCGAGAGTGGCGAGAGGCGCATCCAGGGCGGTAGACAGCGTAGAGAAGAAATCACATGGAAACCAGGGCGCAGGGGGGTGCCAAAATTCTTTATCATATACTATTTAATAAATAGACACAACGAATGTGGCCCTCGAGCCTCGACCTTACTTATACTCTTTGAGCTCTGGGACGCGGGAAAACCGCAATCGATGTTTTGCGGCGGGTTTTTCTCGCTGCACAGCCTGCACCGGACAGCGCAGCGAGGAGCCGTTGTTACATCGCTCATCGGTTCGGTCGATCCACGTCTACGACTCCGTTTTTTGTTGGTACTACTAATTTTATTTCCTCCCGACGAGGGTCGAGGCGCCATCCGATGAATGAATGGCGCCCTCATCTATTAGAGTATTAGTATCAACATTGATTGTCTGCAGTCTGGCGGCCCGCGGTGGTGGCGGGGCGGCGAGGGCGGGTGTGGCCGAACGTTGCTCACTCTGAACTTCTGCAGCTAATGGAAGTACTCGAGTAGCAACCACCGCTGGGCTCATGAGGAGCGGCGCGCAGCGGCGGTGCGTGCGACGCCGTGGCCGCAGAGAGCGCGGCTGCCGCACACGTCTCGGGCACTGGTCGCGTCGCCTCTGGCGATCAGCTCGAGCGCGCCTTCTTGGAGGGCGGCTCCGGCGCAGCGCTTCGCGCCGTACGGCGAAAAAGAATTCGGGTCCCAGCTCTGAGCGCCGGCAGCGCGGCACACGCGCTGCCGGCCCCGGCAAGCCGCACTCATGTGCGACCCCTTCCCCGCCGAAGAGGCGGCGACCGGCACCATCTTCCGCTGCAAGTTCCCGGGGTGCCTCCGCAGCTACGGGAGCACTGACGCCGCGCGAAAGCACGCGCGGAAGACGCACCCGGACTGGCTCAAGCTGGCGGACGCCGCGGCGGCGAAGCGGGTTCGGGGCGGCCCGTCGACAAAGTCGTCCTTCTACTGCGCCCGAGAGGAGGCGCCCCTCCTCTCCCCCTCCTCCGCCGTGCCAAACGGCGGCCTGCTGCGGCTTGACTCGGCTCTCGAGCGGCTTGACGGTGAGGGGGCTTGCGGCGGAGAGGGAGAGGCGGCGTGGGGGGCGATCAGCGGCGGCGCGGACGCCGCATCGGCCGCAGACCCGCCCGCAGGCTCGCTCGCCGCGACCGCCGCGTTTGGCGACGCCGCTGCGCCCCCCTCCTCCGCCCCCGGGCTGCCCTCTAGCCTGCCCTCCCTCTTCAGCTTGGGCGACGGGGCGGGCTGGGGTGCGGGGGCGCCTGCGTGGGCGTGGCCCGAGCCGCTCCCGCCGCTCCTCGGCGGCGTCGGGGTCTGGAGCGACTCTCCGGGCGGGTGGGATGCCCTGCCCGCAGACCGAGTGGCAGACTCGTTGTCCTTGCCAGCCTCCCCCGCCCCCGCCGACTCCTCCGCCATCGCCGACGCCGCATCCGCCGTTCTCGCCGCCTCCGCCGCCTCCGCCACCGCGTCGCTCCTTGGCGCGCTGCAGGGCAGCCTGCTGCTGGACAGCACGCAGCAGCCGCCTCCTCTCCTCTGGTCGCTGCTCGCGGCAGGAGCGGCGAGGACCTTTGCGTCGGAACAGGGGCCCCCCTCCCCTTTTTTTTTCTTTTTCCCCCACTTTGGGCCGTGGGGCTCACCACTAAACCACCGCCTCCCCCCCCCCTCCGCCCCCCGGCCCAGCCCCCCCCACCGCCTCCACCTATTCCGCCCAGCCACCGCGTCCGCGTCCCCCTTCGCCCCCCTGCCCCCCCCCCCCCCCTCCCCGTGCCTGGACCCCCGACCCCGCACCCCCCCCCCAACCCCCCCTCCCCAGCCTCCCCGCCCCCCCCCCACCTATATCGCCCCGGATCCCCCCCCCTATCCCCCCCCCCCCTCCCCCCCCCGCCCACCCCCCTCCACCATTCACCCACTCGCACCGCCCCCCCCCCCCCCCCCCCCCCACCCCGCAGCGGTCACCCCCCCTCGCCCCCCCTCTGCCCCCCCCCCCCCCCCCCCCCCCCCCCCCCCCCCCCCATCCCCCCCCCCCCCCCCCCCCCCCCCACCCCCCCCCCCGGCCCCGTCCCCCCCCCCCCCCCCCCCCACCCGCCCCACCTGCACCCCCCCCCCCCTCCCCCCCCCCCCCCCCCGTCCCCCTCCCCACGCACCCCCCTGGCTCCCCCCCCCCCCCCGTCTCGCTTTCCCCCCCGCCCCCGCGCTGGGCGGGTGCGACGGCGGCGTCGCCTTCGCGTTGCACGCGTCGTACGACTCCCTCCCGCCTCTGGGCGAGGAGGGCGGCGAGGCGGCGCCGGGGCGCGGGCTGTCGCCCAACCCTCGCCCGCACGAGTCGCTCGCGGCGCTGCTGGCCGAGTCGTACGGAGGAGGGCTGGGCGGCGAGAGGCCGGGCGGCGGGAGGCTGGGCGGCGGGGGGGCATGCGGCGGGGGGGCATGCGGCGGCTTGCTGCAGCTCCGCGACGCGTGCGGCGCAATCTCGGGCGTCGAGATCGGCACGTTGCGCGTCGAGATCGGCACCTCGCGGCCGTCGAGCCCCTTTGACGTGCTCGGCGCCCTCCTCTCCGTCTAGCGGGCAGCTGCTGGTCTCGCCTCCCTCGAGCGGCGGCGGCGCGTGCGCGTGTACAGCATATCGGAGCGCCCCCTGGAGCTCTCCTAGAGCGCCGTGCCGGCCCTACCCTACCCGTCGCCATGTAGCCCTTGCGCGGCCGCCGCCTTGTACAGCTCACGCTCCCGCGTGGCCCCGTCTTTTGTACGCTTCTCGCCGAGTGTCTCCACCAACGTGCCGCTCCCCACGTGGAATGTATTCCCATGCAGTCTTTCTTGTCGCAACTCGCATGCACTGTATCTATAGTCTGTTACCCGCTGCCGTGACCCACTGTGCACTGACCAGTGTCCTCTGCCGTGTAATCTCTCTATTCGACGTGTTGTCTTGTTGCATGTCAGTTAGGTTTCGAGCGCTCACAGCTCCTCTATTGTAATCATCGTTCCCAGCACAAGCGATGTCACAAGGATCAAGGTGTGTCAAAAAAAAACACAAAAAAATTCAAAACATGAGAGATGCGATGAGTGGTCCCATGCGGGACGCCGTCGCCGGTGCGGGCGCTGCGGGGCCGGTGCGTCGCCCATGGCCACGCCCGCACGCCCTCGCCGGGGGCGGGGCCCCAGAGCCAGACCGCCCACGCCGAACTAGAGAAACCACGCACTGGCCAGCCCACCCGCGATGAATGAATCGGATGGACATTGATGCACATCATCGACGGACCAGTAAATAAACAATGAGGGGGCTCCCGAACCTCACTTATCTCGGGTCTGCAAGCTCACACCGGCTCGTGATGCCACGGAGAGGGCTCCAGATTGTCTCCGGTGGACCCCATCCGAGGCGATTGCGAGGGCATTCCGGAGGTCATCATCGGCGCCATCGACCGTGATATGTCTCGTCCCGCAGCCCTCATGCACCGAACGGATGCATGCAGTCATAATATGTAGGCCTTATCTCCCGAAGTTTTGAGCAATAGCCGCAAACAACGCTTTTTGGCACTCGCATCGCGACAAGGTCACACGCGGACTCTCCAGCCTCTCAGCTCACCACCTCGCCTTCCCTGCCGCTCTCCTGGCTCAGTCCTATCAGTAGCAGGTCTGAGCCGCCCCGAACCGCACTTATCTCGGGTCTACAAGCTCACACTGGCTGGTGATGCCACGGAGAGGGCTCCAGATTGTCTCCGGTGGACCCCATCCGAGGCGATTGCGAGGGCATTCCGGAGGTCATCATCGGCGCCATCGACCGTGATATGTCTCGTCCCGCAGCCCTCATGCACCGAACGGATGCATGCAGTCATAATATGTAGGCCTTATCTCCCGAAGTTTTGAGCAATAGCCGCAAACAACGCTTTTTGGCACTCGCATCGCGACAAGGTCACACGCGGACTCTCCAGCCTCTCAGCTCACCACCTCGCCTTCCCTGCCGCTCTCCTGGCTCAGTCCTATCAGTAGCAGGTCTGAGCCGCCCCGAACCGCACTTATCTCGGGTCTGCAAGCTCACACCGGCTCGAGATGCCACGGAGAGGGCTCCAGATTGTCTCCGGTGGACCCCATCCGAGGCGATTGCGAGGGCATTCCGGAGGTCATCATCGGCGCCATCGACCGTGATATGTCTCGTCCCGCAGCCCTCATGCACCGAACGGATGCATGCAGTCATAATATGTAGGCCTTATCTCCCGAGGTTTTGAGCAATAGCCGCAAACAACGCTTTTTGGCACTCGCATCGCGACAAGGTCACACGCGGACTCTCCAGCCTCTCAGCTCACCACCTCGCCTTCCCTGCCGCTCTCCTGGCTCAGTCCTATCAGTAGCAGGTCTGAGCCGCCCCGAACCGCACTTATCTCGGGTCTGCAAGCTCACACTGGCTGGTGATGCCACGGAGAGGGCTCCAGATTGTCCCCGGTGGACCCCATCCGAGGCGATTGCGAGGGCATTCCGGAAGTCATCATCGGCGCCATCGACCGTGATATGTCTCGTCCCGCAGCCCTCATGCACCGAACGGATGCATGCAGTCATAATATGTAGGCCTTATCTCCCGAAGTTTTGAGCAATAGCCGCAAACAACGCTTTTTGGCACTCGCATCGCGACAAGGTCACACGCGGACTCTCCAGCCTCTCAGCTCACCACCTCGCCTTCCCTGCCGCTCTCCTGGCTCAGTCCCATCAGTAGCAAGCCTGAGCCGCCCCGAACCGCACTTATCTCGGGTCTGCAAGCTCACACGGGCTCACAACTACCCACACACGGGCCCTCACACGCCCATTACAGATCACAGACGCCGCCGGCACTCGCACTTCACACATGCTCAAACACAGCCCCACCAAAGCACAGCCCTGCTCAGAGCAGTCATGGACCGCCCTTTGGGAGCCGTGGAAGCCCCACAGCTGCTGCTCCTCTCGGCTCCTTTCAGTGCGTGTCGTGCACCCCCACGACAGCACGCCGACGGCAAGCTTTGATGCCCGTCTGGTGGACCTGCTGTGGCCACAGCCGCCCCGCACATGCAGCTCACACCATGGCTCGACATCGGGGCCGCTCATCCCGGTCGTGGCGGCGTGTGTGAAGGATGCGCGGCCGAGCCGCTGGCTGGCGCCGCTTGAACGTCCGAGATGGCCGCAGCACAGGCCACGCGTCGCGCCGCCGGTCAAACCCAGCCGGTTGGCGGTCGAGTCGGTCGAGCTGGCGGGGCCGGCGAAGAGTTTAGGGTCGGGGACCACGCACCTGGCCGACGCGGGGCGGCCAAAGTCGAAAACGAGGACTGCCAACGAGCTGCAGGGCGGCTTTGCTTGGGGCTGTATGGTTCTTGCACTTGTGCAAGATTGGGCGTCTTCT